TCGCGGACAAACGCCATAGATCCCCAGACACGGAACGCAGACGCATCGCCTACCTTCCGCGTCCACAGCAAAGCTGGGGAGGTCTCCGGCATGGAGACCCTGGGCTGAAGGTTGATCTGATGCGCCGCTTACCGAACCACAAACGGCCACAGAAAATGGGGGGCAGCCGCATGCATCATGGACGTACGGGCGACGTCCATGACCATGCCAATGCGGCGCTCAGCAATCCCATTTTGCTGTGGAGATTCCGGAAGCGTGAAGGTCTGGCGGATGCCTCGTGCACGACAGTAGGCTCGCAGAAGGCCAGAGTAGAACTCTCCGCCTCGGTCAGAGTGCAGACGCAGAACAGGAAAGTCCAAGCCGAAGCTCCTCCTGAGCTGGAGACGAGCTGCGCGGATCCAGTCGATCAACACCTCAGTGACATCACCCTTGCTGCGCAAGGGGAAGACTGTGGTGTAACGCGAGTATTCGTCAACCACCAGCAGGAAGTAGCGCTCGTGACCCTGTCCACGGACGCGGGCTGGGCCCCACACGTCCATGTGAAGCGTCTGCAGCGGGGCCTCTGTCGGAGGAAACTGGGAGGAGTGAGGGGTAGCCCGCTGCCGCCCCTCGACACAGGGGACACAGGTAGGGCCAGGCCCCGGAGGAAGGGGAGGGAGGGACCGCAGAAGACCAGAGACAAGGACACGGGAGGCCATGCTTCGGAGGCGAAGCAGGGAGGGGTGACCAAGGCGGTGGTGCCAGAGGAGAGTCTCGTGAGACAGGAGGCGACACGAGCAGGGGGCAGACTCAGGACCAGACCTGGACGCTGCAGCAAACACCTGACCCGACGCAGCTACCTGACCAGACGCAGGGACAGGAGGAGACTCAGTGGTCAGGGTGTACAGGCTCGACCCCGGCCCACGCGTAAACGTGGCCAGGTGCCGGCCTGTGCGAGCGTCCGAGCAGTGGGTCACCCGCTAACTCGCAGGAGTAAACTGGTGAACCCCCGCATCCTGTAGGTCAGCACCACTCACCAAGTTCGTAGAGAATGAGGGGAGGTAAAGACCAGACAAGGTGCCAGAGGGGGCCGCCGGACACAGGAGGACAGTGGAGAAGTGAGAAAGGACAGGACCCCCAGAGGGGTCTGCCAGGGAGACTGCAACCGGCCGACCAAGCGGCGTGAGTGTGGTGCGGTCTCGAAAGAAGGAGCGAGAAGCCCCTGAGTCAAGTGTGAAGGTGAGGGAGGCCGAAGCCGACGCGGCACCTGAGAGCGCAGACTCACCAGCACCTGAGGACGCAGACGCACTAGCACCTAGAGCAGCAGCCTCACTGGCACCTAGAGCAGCAGCCTCACCAGTACCTAGAGCAGCAGTCTCAATGCCCGGGTCGGGCGGGAAACACCGGTAACAGTCATCCTCATCACTAATAGACACAGCATACATGGCAGAAAGGATAGCATCAAAATCAAGATCATAGATGGCAACTCCCGCCCTGGACAGCTCGCCCCAGCGAGGGATCTTTGTGGCCTCCGGGAACTGGTGACGCCACGCGTCCGTCAGGCGGCCAAAGCAGCGCTGGGTGGGGTGCGCACCCCCACACTGCTCACCCGCACGGTCGCCGGTGCGCAGGACGTAGGTGCACGGACCAAAGCCCCCACCCCGCTGGCGTGCAGTGTACCACTCACGGAGCTGCTGAGGGGACAGGGTCTCACGACCACGCTGCTGCTGCTGGCGCGGACCACCACCGGAGCCACTCCTCTGCGTAGACCCGCGACCAGTAGCACCGCCACCCCCGCCGCCTCCGCCGCCTCCGCTTCTACCGCCGCCTCCGCCGCCTCCTCCACCGCCACCACCTCCGCCACCTCCGCTCCCACCGCCACCGCCGCCGCCGCCTCCGCCTACACTGCCGCCACCGACACCTCCACCCCCACCTCCACTCCCACCGCCACCCCCACTCCCCCCGCCGCCTCCACCTCCAACTCCACCGCCCCCGCTCGCTCCTCCAGTGTCCCTGCCCCCCTTGCCCTCGCCAGAGCGGCGTCTCCCGCTAGGGGCAGACGCCGCACCGACCGACTCAAGACCAAGGAGGTCGGCCGCGGCAGTAGAGGCAACAGAGGGCAGAAGGGGGGAGGGGGAACACCCCTCAAAGATGGGGGTGCGCGGGTCACCACGAGAGGCCCCTACAGCGACTATGCTCTTCTCGGCCGCTAGGAGGGACTTCTCGAGGATGTCAACAGTGAGAGTGGTGGGTCAGACTGAGAGGAAGTGGTCTCTGACTACGCGAAGGGAGTCAGGGAGGCGAGTGACTATGTAGTAGAGAGTGATGTACATGAGGGGGGGGTTCTTGGCGCAGAAGTCAGCAGGAAGCGCAGCGCGGTAGCGAGTGTCACTAGTGCGGAGGTGCGTAATGAGGTCAGCGAGTGTGAGAAAGGCAGCAAGGTCAGGGAAGAGGTACGTTAGCATGAGACGGCTCAATGCAGCAATGGCAGGGGAGGAGTAGCGTGCAACTACAGCGTCGTACAAGGTCTGAGCACTCTTGTACTGACTAAAGTGCGCACGCTAAGAGGTAGGGAGGTGGCGACGCACAGCAAGACGTGCAGCAGCATCGCGCGTGGCCCACTGTGAGCGAATAGTGGCGTCAGCATCAGCAGCAGGAGCAGGAGAGGCACCAGAGGTGAGGTCAAAGAGGGAGAGACCGTCTGCCCTATCGCACTGTAAGAACAGCTGCAGGTCATCTACCCAAACGTCAAAGTCAATGGCTCGACCCTCGGCGTCAAAAGCGAGGACACTAGGGGTAGCCATGACAACAGTAGACTAGCAGCGCACACAGTAGGGAAAGGGCAGTGCAGTGACAGAGGCGCTGTGGTTACCGGACGGGGCTGCTCGGGCGGCTCGGAGTTAGGGCAGCTCGGCGGCTCGGTGGCTTGGGTGCACGGCGGCTCGGCTGCAGGGCGGCTCGGCTGCAGGGCGGCTCGGCTGCTCGGCTGTTGGGCGGCTCGGCTGCAGGGCGGCTCGGCTGCTCGGCTGTCCGGCTGCTCAGCTGCTAGGCGGCCCGACTGTGCTGCTGTACGGCGGCGCGGCGGTTGGCTGCTCGGCTAGGTGAGGCGGCTCAGGCGGCTCGGGTGGCGGGCGGCGCTGCAGCAGATGACGAGGCCGCAGGGAAGGCGGCGGGGCTGCAAGTGAGGGTGGCGGGGACCGCAATAAGGGCGGCGGGGACCGCAGGTAAGGGCGGCGGGGACCGCAGGTGAGGGCGGTGGGGCCGCAGGTAGGGCGGGTGGGCCACAGGTAGGGCGGTTGGGCCGCAGGTAGGGCGGCTGGGCCGCAGGTAGGGCGGCTGGGCCGCAGGTAGGGCGGCGGGGCGGGGCCGTAGGTAGGGCGACGGGGCCGGGTCGAAGGTAGGGCGACGGGGCCGGTACGCAGGTAGGGCGACGGGGCCGTGGCCGGGGCGCAGGTAGGGCGACGGGGCCGGGGCCGGGGCGCAGGTAGGGCGACAGGGCTAGGGCCGGGGCCGCAGGTATGGCGACGGGGCCAGGGTCGCAGGTGGGGCGACGGGGTCGGGGTCGCAGGTAGGGCGACGGGGTCGGGGCGCAGGTAGGGCGACGGGGCCGGGGCGCAGGTAGGGCGACGGGGCCGGGGCGCAGGTAGGGCGACGGGGCCGAGGCGCAGGTAGGGCGACGGGGCTGGGGCCGTAGGAATCAGGGGCCGCTAAGGCGGCGCGACTTGGCCGCTAGGGCGGCTCGACGAAGTCAGAGAGGGGAGCGCGACTCGGGCTAAGCGCGCTCCGGGCAGGAAAAAAAAACTTTCGACTTGGTGGGCCTTAGGCACAGTTCCCACGAGGGAACCTGCTCGATACCATGAGAAAACTGAAACGAGAATGGTGCAGTAAGGAATGGAATGTGGTACAAATATGCAACCCTAGAAATGTGTACCCCATATGGGCTACCCCACTACAACCTACAGAACATAATGATTTGATAGGGATCTCACCGGAGACCAATCCGAAGACGCCAAGCAGCACTACAGCATAACCGAGCTCTGTGTCGGAGGTGAGGAAGAGAGTGACGTCGTCCGCGTAGCATGCCATTGTTAGAGACTAAGGAGGGAGTCTGTAAAGATTACGAGCCGAAATATCACAAAATCGTTGGTCTCAATTTCTGGACAGAATAGTTGCGCTCACAAGAAACGCCGTCGACAAAAAATTCACGGTCAAAACTTCACCAAACTCAGTTGTATTGTAGCCCTAGTCCGTGGCTACAATTCCCAATTTGAATCGTATCAAGAGGTGAAGTAAATCTTGACTTATCAATTTCAGCGCACAGGGGGGTATGCTGCCATGAGAACTTAAAGCTCGTGTCTTGTATTTTTTTGTTCCAACCAAGTGTTAAACGATTGGGATCCGGTAACAGCCTGTTTTGTCGCATAACACCCCCAAGCAAGGGTTAGGCTTGGGAAGGTTGGTTGGGTGTGGGTAGGCCCCGCAAACCAAATGTACAGTACAAACAACGTGGGGTGACCCAGTGTATGGTTTCGCCAAACCAGGTTGAACGACACACATGCGCGACGAAACCACAGGCTGCGACAACAGAGTGTCGCACTCTCCCGTGTGCAGACCAAGCATTTTACAGGGGTCGGAAATATGAGACACCCAACTCAACCATTCTCACAAGTGGGGTAGTTCCTCCACCCTTTCAAGTGTTTTGCGCTTCACTATCGCGAAACCTAGCGTACACTTATCACAGAGAAGTCCTCATAGGTCACTCACCAAGAACCTCATTATACACTTTGACAACCCACTCCCTTGAGTCCTGCTCTACATCACCTCGTTTACATTCTGCACCGTGATTCCCCAGCACGCAGACGTCACAATCTAGAAGGCACCAAGGCCAATCCTTGTTATCCACTCTCGTCGTGGAGCTGCCAGTATCCGGGTTGCCTCGCACTCCTCCTCTGCCTTTAGCAGGTGAGCTCGACGGATTTGCAGATTTATTTCATGTGGAATCAGTGGCGGAATGGTGGTATATGGTGGAATTAGTTGCGGAATGGCGGCAGATGGCGGGATTAGTGGCGGAATGGCGGTACATGGCGGAATTAGCGGCGGTATGGCGGTAAATGGCGGAATGAGAGGCGAAATGGTGGAAAATGGCGGAATGAGAGGCGAAATGGTGGAGAAGGGCGGAATGAGAGGCGAAATGGTGGAAAAGGGCGGAATGAGAGGCGAAATGGTGGGAAATGGCGGAATGAGAGGCAAAATGGTGGGAGATGGCGGACTGAGAGGCGAAATGGTGGGAAATGGCGGAATGAGAGGCGAAATGGTGGAAAATGGCGGAATGAGAAGCGAAATGGTGGGAAATGGCGGAATGAGAGACGGAATGGTGGAAAATGGCGGAATGAGAGGCGAAATGGTGGAAAATGGCGCAATGAGAAGCGTGTGATGGAAAATGGCGGAATGAGAGGGAATGGGGAAGGGATGTGAGGTCAGACGGGGGAATGGTGGTGCCATCATAGGGTGAGAGGAGGTGTTGTGGGAGGGGGAAGGGAGGTGAGTTCAGAGGGGGAGGGGATGTGTTGAGAAGGGTAACAGATGTGATGTGAGAGGGGGAAAAGATGTGCTTAGGGAGGGGGTAGGGAGGAGAGAAGGCCGGTGAAGGTAGGTGAGGGGAGGGGGAAAGGTGTCTGAGTACGGAGGAGGAAGAGAGGTTCTTAGATAGGGGGGATGGAGGTGCTAGCAGGGGGGAAATAAGTGATGTGAGATGAGGAAGAGAGGTGCTGGGAGTGGAAAGGGAGGTGAGGTCAGACGTGGTTGGGAGGTGAGATGAGAGGGGGAAGGGAGGTGCTGTGAGGGAAGGGAGGTGCTGTGAGAAGGTGCTGTTCTGTTCCTCTCCTCGCTGCTCCGTTCCTCTCCTCGCTGCTCCGTTCCTCTCCTCGCTGCTCCGTTCCTCTCCTCGCTGCTCCGTTCCTCTCCTCGTTGCTCCGTTCCTCTCCTCACTGCTCCGTTCCTCTCCTCACTGCTCCGTTCCTCTCCTCGCTGCTCCGTTCCTCTCCTCGCTGCTCCGTTCCTCTCCTCGCTGCTCCGTTCCTCTCCTCGCTGCGCCGTTCCTCTCCTCGCTGCTCCCTTCCTCGCTCACCTCGCAGTCAGTGTCGTCCCGCAATCTCACCCGTTGCTCTCTCACTCTCCTCACGCGAGAACGATGCCACCGCGCTCTCTCGCTCCCTCAATCAATCCCGTCCCTCTCTCACACCCATCCCTCTCTCACACCCATCCCTCTCTCACACCTGTCCCTCTCTCACACCCATCCCTCTCTCACACCCGTCCCTCTCTCACACCCACCCATCCCTCTCTCACACCCACCCATCCCTCACTCACACCTGTCCCTCTCTCACACCCTTCTCCCTCCCTCCCTAAACCATTCTCCCTCCCTCCCTTTCCCCTTCTCCTTCCCTCCGTTTTCCCCCTTGTTCTTCCCTCCCTTTCGCCCATGTCCCTCCCCTTCTCTTACCCCGCCTATCTTTCCCTCCTGGTCTGCCCTTCTCCCGTTCATCCTTTTTCCCCTCTTCCTACCCTCTGTTGCCCTGTTCCCCATGCCCCTTGCCCAGGGTCCTCATACCCTATGCCCTAAGACCCTCTGTGGGCGGCAGCAGCAGCCTTCAAGGAAGTGGTGGCATACCACACACCTCCGACAAGAAGCAGTGGGCGCCAATAGGGGGGATTGCCATAGTCAATGCTGTAGTTGTCACAACGATGTCCCTCGCTTGCAGGTGCAGCACTCCTGCCCATCGAAGCTTCATCGATCTGTCTCTACCGACAGCCCTTCCCTCTCCTCTCTGCCCCGGTCGCACCTGACACTCTTTGACCTTCTTTCCGTTCCCCATTACACCATACCCACCGTTACCTCACACACCCTTCTCACTCACACACCCTTCTTTCTCACACTCCCTGCTCACTCACCCACCCTGCAGTGCTGGGGAAAGCAGTGCTGGTGAGTGCAGTGCTGGTGAGTGCAGTGCTGGTGAGTGCAGTGCTGGTGAGTGCAGTGCTGGTGAGTGCAGTTCTTCTCCCCCGCCGTTCCTCCCGTCATCAGTTTTTCCCTCTATTCCACCCTTCCTCTTTTCATCCCTTCTTCTGTAACCCTCTTCAACTGTAAGCATAAATCGAGGGACCTTGCGTTATCCTTTCCCGTGTTGGTTGCTTGTCCTTCATCATTATCACGTACCGTATACTTCCCTGATGTTCAGCCATGTCACATCTAACTTCTTGGTTTGTGTTTGTATACAGGTCTCCTAACCATCTGGTTGTGGTGATGTTTTGACTGCTTGATAGTACTATGATGATTGGCCATGCTGTATATTGATCTTGGATGCTTTGTTATAATACAAACACTTTGCTCAGAAGCAGCTATGCACATGACCATGTTGAACAAGAATGATGAACTAACAGTGAAATGAGTACAAGTATGAAAACCTAGGAATGTGTACCCTCTATAGGCTAACCCACTATAGCCTAAACAACAACAACAACATATATAATGTTTGACACACCCCCATAGGCGAAGTGGGGGAGAACTAGGGGTCACAAGACCAGTCAAGTAAAGCAAAGCAAAGCAAAGCAAGCTCAGGGTGGATCACAACGTCACCACACAATCCGAGCACAAGTTCAAGGCCACAAGGCCAGTTCACATGTAGGAGTACACATATATATATAAGACTAAACAAGCAAGAGCAGTGATATATATATGTAACATTACAAAGAGGGTCAAGAGGAGAGCAAGTGAGGCAAGACAGACACAAGACCCAGCTGGGTACAGCAGCGCAGATGATCACAAGGCGGAAGTGCCTTGGTGAAGACATCAGCAGTGTTGGCCTCAGAGGCCACGTACGCAAGTCGCAACTGACCACGCTGCTGTAGCTCACGAGCAAGGAAGTAGCGGAGAGCAATGTGCTTTGTTCTGTGCTCCAGTCTCTGCTCCCGACACAAGGCCAGCATGGCCTTGTTGTCGACGTACAGGACTGGAGGAGAACGAGGCGGCTCTCCAAGGTCGGTCAGCAGGTAGGTGAGCCAGCGAAGCTCCTGAGCAGCCATGGCCCCTGCGTAGATCTCAGCCTCACAACTGGAGCCGAGAACAGAAGACGAGCGAGTAGCCCGCCACGAAACAGAGCCGGAACCAAGGCTGAAAGTGTAACCCTGTGACGACCGCTGCGTAGCCTGGTCGTCAGCCTAAGAAGCGTCTGCGTGTCCAGTGAGGACCACTGGACTCCGCCCTCCAAGCACTAGTCCCATGCCCGACGTACTGCACAAGTAGCGCAACACCCTCTTCGCTGCAGCCATGTGCTCTGGTCGGTGTCTCCCAGGAGCAACATAGCGTGCAAGAATGCTAAGAGGGTATGCAAGGTCAGGTCGTGTGCAGGTCATCAGGTACATGAGACAGCCAACAAGCTCTGGGTACGGGCCACTCGACTCTACGGACTCATCCGAAGGCAGAGCTGAGAGCGAGTGGCGAGTAGACAGAGGAGTGGCCTGAGGCGAGGAGTACGTGAAGCCGAAGCGCTGAAGGACCTGCTGCACCATGTGTGACTGAGTCAGGGTAATGGTGCGGCGTGCTTTGTCCCGAGTGATCTGCAAGCCAAGGTAGCTGCGCAGTTCACCCATGTCTGTGCACGTGTGTCTCTTCTGCAGCTCAGACTTCACGTAGGCGAGTCCAGTAGTGTCATCTGTGGCAAAGACCAAGTCGTCGACGTACATGAGGATGTAGAACGGCGGCAGAGAGGTGTCGGTGCGCAGAAACAGCGACGGGTCGGCAGTGGAAGGAGCGAACCCAAGAGCCGCAAGCGTAGTCCTCAGTGTGTCGTGCCACTCACGTGGCGCCTGGCGGAGACCGTAGACTGGACGCCGGAGACTCCACTGGGTGCCAGGAGGGAAAGACCCACTGAAGCCAGGTGGGCGGCGCAGCCAGATCTCATCGTGCAGGCTGCCCTGCAAGAAAGCTGTGCTGAAGTCAAGAGAGTGCAGCTCGTAGTCCCGGTGAGCAGCAACGTGCAGCAGTACCCGAAGAGTGGTCATCTTCGGGGTGGGGGAGAAGGTCTGAAAGTAGTCAACTCCTTGCCGCTGACTGAAGCCACGAGCCACGTAACGCGCCTTGAAGACAGGCGGAGAACCCGGCGGCCGCTTCACCCTGAAGATCCACATGCCACTGACGATGTTCGCCCCAGGAGGGGGAACAGCGTCAACGTAGGTGCCTGTGGACTTCCAGGAAGCTATCTCTGCATCCATAGCTGCCTGCCACTGAGAGGAGTAGGGACCCTCTATCACCTCCGCGTAAGAGCGCGGAGTCGGGATGTCAAGTGCATCCGGGTCTCCCTCAAGGGTAAGCAGTATGGACACGAGATGAGGTGAAGCAGCGGCCAAGCACTGGAACTCCTCCTGCCTGTCCTCAAGGACGTCTGTGCGAAGGGCACACTCACCCCCGACGGACGGAGGACAGACAGACTCGTACTCAGCGACAAGACTCGCAGCGTAGTCTAGGCGACAGCGAGCAGCAAAGTCGACGAGCTCAGCAACTAGGGCAGACGCAGCAGAAGACTCGAAAGAAGGGTCAGTGACTACAGTAGCAAGGAGACGCGTGATAGTAGGACTGGCAGCACGAAGAGAGTCCGACGCAGGGTCGGGGAGAGCAGGAAGAGAGGACGCAGGAGGAGAAGGCAAAGGGGCACGCAGAGGAGCAGTAGACGGACGTAGAGACATCCAGTGCGTGCTAGGGGCAGGAGGAGGACGCTGGCGCGAACTACGAGCACTAGCGCTAGCAGGACGGACAGGCGACGCAGGACGAGACGCAGATTCACGACACTCAGTAAGACCGCCAGTAGGACCAGTGTAAGGAGAAGGAGCAGGTAGTGGGGAGGCCGGCTGCAACTGTAACTGTGACGGGACAGGCTGTGAACACGCTAAGGGAGGAGGACCAGGAGGAGGCGAGAGACCAAGAACCTGCTGAAGGAGCGGAACGAAGTACGGCTGAGGGCGCGCGGCGACTCCAGACACAGCAGTGACAGCACTTGTACCCCCAGCGGCAGTACCAGAACCAGCAGCAGCTCCAACGCCCAGGTCCTCAGTACAAGCCTCAGCACCAACGCCCGAGTCCTCAGCACCAGCAGTGGCTCCAACACCAGGGTCCACAGCACCTGCCGCAGCTCCAACGCCCGGGTCCTCAGCACCAGCAGGGACTCCGACACCAGGGTCCACAGCACCAGCCGCAGCTCCAACGCCAGGGTCCACAGCACCAGCCGCAGCCCCAACGCCCGGGTCCTCAGCACCAGCAGCACCTCCAACCCTCGGGTCCGCAGCACCAACAGCAGCTCCAACGCCAGGGTCCGCAGCACCAGCAGCAGCTCCAACGCCAGGGTCCGCAGCACCAGCAGCAGCTCCAACGCCAGGGTCCGCAGCACCAGCAGCTGCTCCAACGCCCGGGTCCGTAGCACCAGGGGCAGCCGGGTCCGTGAGACGAGGCGCACCACTCCGAAGTGTGCAACGGCGCTCGTACCACTCACGGATCCGCTCACGAGAGGGGAGCTCCCGACTAGGAGGAGAAGTACCAGCCCCAGTCCCTGTAGTGCGCCTGGTCCCAGAGGTAACACTCCGGAGGTTGCAGTACTGTAAGTACCACTCACGCAACTGCTCCGAGGAGAGGTCTCGTCCAGGTGTAGCACCCTCAGGCCCAGCACCGCCAGGCTCAGCACCCCCAGTCACCGCACCCCCAGGCTCAGCACCCCCAGGCTTAGTACCCCCAGTGTCCGCACCCCCAGGCTCAGCACCCCCAGAGTCCGCACCCCAAGGCTCAGCACCCCCAGAGTCAGCACCCCCAGGCTCAGCACCCCCAGCAGGACGAGAGTCGACAGCAACCTCAACAGGCTCGACCGGGTCTACGTGAGACACACCTGAGGGAGCGGCACCCTGAGGGGGGAGGGGGTCTACGACAGCAGCACCTGGCGCGAGGAAGAGATGCGGGGGTGGGAGCGGGGCTGTGCGGTAGGGGAAGAGGCGGTATTAGGGGACAGACTCGTCAAAAGTGACGTCCTGAGAGGGCAAGACCCGGCGCGAGGTGGCGTGGTAAAACTGCCAACCAGGCGCGTCCGGAACAAAGCCGAGGAAGACGCAGGGAACAGCACGAGAGGAGAGCTTGTCCGCAGACGAATCGCGGACAAAAGCTCGAGATCGCCAGACCCAGAAACGCGAGGCATCGCCAACCTCCCCCGTCCACAGCAGTGTGGGAGAGGTCTCCGGCAAGGAGACACGGGGCCAGAGGTTGAGCTGATGCGCAGCGTACCGGACCGCAAACGGCCACAGAAAGTGGGGGCAGCCGCATGGATCAAGGAGGTACGAGCGACCTCCATGACCAGGCCAATGCGGCGCTCCGCAACCCCATTCTGCTGTGGAGAGGCCGGAAGCGTGAACGACTGCTCAATGCCGTGCTCAGCACAGTAGGCTGCCAAGAGGTCGGAGGAGAACTCACCACCTCTGTCAGAGTGCAAGCGCAGGACAGGAAAGTCCGAGCGGAAACGCTCGTTGAGCTGGAGACGAGCTCTGCGGATCCAAGGGATCAAAACATCAGGGACCTCACCCTTGGCGCGCAAGGGGAAGACCGTGGTGTAGCGCGAGTAGTCGTCAACAACGATCAGGAAGTACCTCTCCTGACCCTGACCACGGACGCGGGCTGGGCCCCACACGTCCATGTGGAGCGTCTGCAAAGGAGCAGTCGTCGGGGGAAACGAGGAGGAGTGAGGAGCGGCGCGCTGCCGCCCCTCGACACAGGGAAGACAAGGAGGAGCAGGCGAGGGTGGGAGGGGAGGGAGGACCCTGGGAAGACCAGAGACAAGGTACCGGGAGTGCATGGCACGAAGGCGCTGCACAGACGGGTGGCCCAGTCGGTGGTGCCAGAGGACAGTCTCGTGCGCTAGAGAGCGACACGAGCAGGGGGCGGACAGCTGACTTGACGCTAACGCAGATGCAGACGCAGCGACCTGAGGGGGGGCAGTAGTCAGTGTGTACAGGTCCGACCCCGGCTGCCGGGTGAAGGTAGCCAAGTGGCGGCCTGTACGGGCACACGTGCAGTGTGTGACATGCTCGTAGGCAGGGGTGAA